GAGGCGGGGCGCCCTCGCCGGGAGTCGTCGCCGAGCTGGGGCCCGGGACGCCCCCCCACACACGGCGCGACCCGGGACCCCCGCCTCAGACAAGGGCCCTGCGGGTCCAGCAGCAGCGTCCGCGGACCCCTGCCGCCCCCTCGGCCCCCGGTCCTCGCCTTGTGTCCGGTGCGGAGCTGTCACCTCCCGGGTACCTCTCGGCGAGAGCTAGAAGCAGCTGACGGCGCAGAGCACTCTTGAGCGCCGGCGTCCCCGAGAGCCAGCAATCTCGGCCCCAGCTCACAACAAAGGAAACATGTGACCGTCCGGGCCAAAACACTGAGCGTCACCCGGCCCTGACCAATCCTGAGGGCGGCCTCGCGCGGGGCACGCTGGGAATTGTAGTTCCAGGCGGTGCTGCCCGGAGAGATCGTGTTGCAGAGCCGGGTTAAGGAAATGCAGCTTGTGCAAGGGACCTACTGAGAAACATGCTTATTGCCCTCAAAGCCCTCTCCAAGACCCTAGGCACAAACACATGACTAGACATTCCCAGAACCAAAGAGGTTGGAATGAAGCATAGAAATCTCTTTGAGCATTTCCTGTCCAATGGGAAGTCTGAGGACCTAAGGGATAGAAAGGACTGATCAGTAGAAAGCTCAAGGGAACTTACTTTCTTTGTAAATCTGTTTGTCAATCGAATCCTGGGTTACCTTTTTATTTTAAACGTGCATGCAAGTTGAACAAAAATGTTGCAAATCAATTTTCCAAAGCAAGTCAATTTCCCAAAGGGCATTATTTTGTCATTTTGTTTCTCCAAATATTTGTTTTAAGGATGAACATATATACCTAGTTTTTCAAGCAATTAATTGGTTTTTGATATCAAAATTATAAATCGGCTAGGCATGGTGGCGCATGCGTGTAATCCCAGCACTCAGGAGGCTGAGGCAGGAAGATTGTTCTGAGTTCAAGACCAGCATGGGCTACAAAGTGAGCTCAAGGCCAGCCTGAACTGCATAGTGAGACCCTGTCTCAAAAAAGGCAAAAAAAAAAAAAAATTATAATTTCTACACTTCATGAATACAATCATGCCTCTATTTGAAGAGAGGATGTGTTCCAGTGACCAAGAAATAATATGGAAGGCATGTATTCACTCCTTTTATAAAAATATTTTTTCTAGGCCTCTTTTCTGTCTTATTAAAATTATTAAAAATGAATATGCCTGCTATTTATTGGGTACCTACTGTAGGAGAGGAAAAATTTCCTCAATCCCCTCAGGGTTCCTGGCCAGGCCTAAAATAAAACTGCTCTGGCTTGACCAGATCCCACAGGCAAAGATTTGAGAGACCGATGTAAGATTTCTTAACTTTTCTTTCTTTTTTTCTTTCTGGTTTTTGAGACAGGATCTGGCCATGTAGTTCAGACTGGCCTTGAACTCAGTATATAAACCTGACCTTAGACTCACAGTGATCATCTGGCCTTAGACTCAGTGATCATCCTGCTTCAGCCTCCCAAGTGCTGGAATTGCAGGCATGCTTCTTCCCTCCGGCCCGCCCCTCCGCCTGGCCTAAGAATCCTTAACATGCTGGCTCTTGTCGGAAGTCCAGGATCTCATAATTGTAGCTTCTGGGTTCAACAAGGTGTCTTTAGCAGATGGTGCTGCTGCCAACCCATAATATCCCACATGGGGTGCCAGAAATTGTAGGGACAGAAAAATGTGATACTTTTTCCCAACCATCACAAGGGGCCCTTTTCACATTCCTATAACAAAAGACAGTTTAATAACAGAAAAGCATAACAAGTTATTTAATCAATTAATTACAAAAAGCATCACCAACCAGACATGATAGTGCACACCTACAGTCCCACCACTTGGGAGGCTGAGCAGTGGGAGGATTTGCAAGACTACCAGGCCAGCCTGAGCTACATAATGAGTTTAAGGCCTGCCTGAATTATATAGTGAGACCCTGTCTCTGAATAAATATAGAAAGTAAAAGAGCAAGACACCACCAGACCTTCTGGGATCTACTTTGGGACTCCCCTGAATGAAGAGGTCCCCATACCCTCTTGGGAAAACTAGATATAAGGGCCTCACTCACAACTGTCAGAGAGTTGTGGGTGCGGGCTGTTTAGGCAGCAAGGATGTGTGAGTCCAGCACTGGTGCAGAGTCCTGGTGGTTTTGCCAAATGTACAAATCAGCTGACAGCCAGTTATTAAATTTGGGGGAAATCTGTTGAAATTCAGTGCGGTAAAGCCATGATGCTGAAAGAGAGGTCTTCAGACCTGTTTCTCCTCCTTTCAGAGCTATGGTAACTGTGCTGCAGTCCATCTTTGATCCTTGTTCCGCGCTCTGTAGCATCTGCTTCTGCCCTGAAGCTCGGAAGGTGGCCAGGCATCCAGACATCCACAGCCTGCTCGCCCCTGCAGAGTCACAGTTAGGACCATGCCCTCGGCGCGGGAGACTAATACTTGCAAACAAACCCCTCTGCCCTCCTCTCATCGTCTGGCAGGCTAACTCTCCCCTGTCCCCAAAGGTAGTAGAAGGGTTGGGTGTCTTTAAAGCTCTCTGGTGCCACCTCTTCTGCAAGGCCTTCTCCGATTTGCTCCTCTCTCAGGTGCCATCTGTGAGACTGTTCCCACCTTCCAGGCCTTTAGCGAGTGCTGCTTGCGCTACATTCACACTCAGTCCCCAAATACAGCTGGGCCCTTTGTTGAGCTAATGCTCAGCACTTTGATTTCCTCTCCCACCACAGTAGAAAAGCGTTGATGAGCCTGTGTGTGTAGCTCAGTGGTACATGGAGATGGGCGAGGTCCAGGTTCAATCCCTACGGCTGGAGGAAAAAGAAAGAAAAAAAGCACTGGTGAAGGAGATTTTACTGAAGGTTTCACGAAGAGAGAATTACCTGACATTTCACATTGCAAAGCTCTCTAACAATCTCTTCCGTCAGCTCCCTTTGTCCCCGCCTCTGGGCCTCTGGTACATGCGTTTGGCTCTCCTTCCTTTCTGTGGTCTCTGCCACCTTCCTCTGAGACGTCCTTCCTCTCATCTCTGTTTCTGTAATCTGTATTTTAGCACTCATCACCTTTCAAACGAAAACGTTTTGCTCTTCAGAAAACAGAGACTATCATAAGTAGCAAATTATCTCTGCCCACCTCACCACCACTCTGCTGTCCTCCTCAGACGTGCAAGTGTCTCCACGCGTGTTACACAACACTGTCTCAGGGTGTCAAGTAAAGGGAAGGGTAAATACAAGGCACTATTTGCTCAAGGCACCTGTGCCTCTCCAGTCTTGAAAGCTATTTGTGCCTTCCCTTCTCTGGGGAGGAAAGATCTGAATCACCTCCCAGCTCTGGGTCTCCCTGGTTGTTTAGATACCAGGAAAGGTTTGAGTTACCCCTGTGGGGTCAACTGTCACTCCAGTCTCGTTGCCAGTCACCGGCCTGCTCAGCTAACCAGAGCTAGGGATCAGACATACCTGTACTGTACTAGCATTAGATTTCTACAGGGAGAGCTATTGTTGCAAATTTCCATTCTGATCTGGGAAAACAGGGAAATCTACCACCAGGAGGGTGAGCTGCCCCCACCTCTTGCTGTCACACAGTGTCCCTCCTCACAACAGAAGCAGGAAGTGGCCTCTCCATCTTTGGAGGATGGTGTTTCCTGGAACTGTCTTTCACAGGTTTGCACCACATAGGTGAGGGGCTGAGAGGCTGAGTCTTGGTGGCCTCAAGATTTTGTTTGTGACCAAGCCTCCCACACTAGATACAAATAGAGCCATGCTTTGGTACTTGACTACTTTGAAACTCTGTGAATTTGGTAGATGATGCAATTGAAGCAGAAAATTTTTTTTTAAAAGAGAATAAAAAAACCAAAATAACAACAACATAGACAGAAACAAAACAAAGCAAAAACAATAAAAATGATACAGGGTTTCATAACAGAATGATAGGAATGAACAGTGGTTGTTGTATTACATAGTGTTATCTTCAACGAAGTTGCTCAGATTGCCAGATGTAAGAATGCAAGATTGATCAAACCATTAACGAGAATAAAAAATAATAAAAAAACATTAGAAACAATACAGAGCTTCACTAGACAAGATGGTAGGAATTCTCCCACAGTTGTTACATTGCATATTGTCTTCAAATTGGTTGCTCAGATTACCAGATATAAGCATGCAAAATTGGTCAAAAAAATGTAAGCATTAACTGTTCCTTTCAATAAACCATTAGACTTCAGCAGTGCAATTATCCCAGCTATCCTTCTATATACATATATATTTTTTTCCCCTTCTTTCTTTCTTTTTCTCCTTTCCCTCATCCCAGTTGTTCCTTCCTTTGAGCAATTTCTTTCCCTTTCATAGTATCTATTGTACATTTTGGGTTTTACTTACTCTTTCAGGTTCTTACACTATGGGGACAATACAATGTTCACACATGTGGGTCCGATTTATTTCACTTTTGAGTGTGGTCTCTAGCTGTGGCGGAAATTGTATCTAAGGGCTTGTCTTTTGTTTGGTACCTGATGTACAAGCTAGAACTTGTTGGTGCCGATTGCTTCCTGACTCACTAGCTAATCTTTCCAGACAAATCTACTGTTTGGAACTCGTTTTTCAGTACTTGTGCCTCTTGAAAGCATTTAACAATGAGAATGGAGGAACCACGACAAAGGTGATGTGTCATCGGCGTAAGCCTTGGGTTCTGACCTCAGGAGGTCACTGTGATGCCAGCTCTCAGCACATCTGATTTCACCTTCCCTTCCTCTTCCTTAATCATTTTCCAGCAGCAAGAGTTGCCCTGGCCTCTCTGGTTTCAAAAGAGGCTAGCATTTTGGAAAAGTTTTGCTGTAAACGACTCCTGTCCTGACTGCTCCCAAGCTAGGCCGGATTCCCCCAGGGATACCTCCAAGCCCCTTTCATGTGACTTCAGCCAAGCCCTCCAAAGGTCTGAATACTCACCAAGAGTGCAGCATCTCCTATTTGTGGCCTATGGTCACAACTTAGACCATATTCCCACTCTTGGCTCTGCTCAGCAGTCTGTCCCACAGGTGCTTCAAGTCCATATAGAGTTCCTGCTGCTGTCGCAGCAGGCTTTGACTTCATCTCCAGTTTCTGTCCTCCGAAGAACACCAGCCTGACATTTAAGAGGAATGTACGGACTCCAGCTTGATCTGTGCTGCCGCTGCTCTTCCTTCACATAGCTGCGATTTCGGGGACTCTATCATTCCACAATCCCCTGGATTGTTCGATGAGCAGCCCTCCTTGGAACCCCATCGCAGGCACAGGGAAGGGGCTGGGCCTTCCAAGCACATCTACAGCCAACCTTCTTTTCCCGTTCTCGAAAGGCCCTCCCAGCTTGAGAAACCGAGTCAGTTAAGGATACAGCAACAATCTGCAGTCGGAGAATTCTGAGTTTAGTATCTGAGCTGATCTCTGTCTAGGACATCGATTTCCAACAATGCAATTTCCGCAGAGCTCTAGTGCAGATCTTGGAGCAGTTTCTGCTTACCGCGAGTCCATGGATCACCCTAATTACTGCTGCTTCATTGTTCATTCCCTATATTAGCTCAGCATTTTGATAGTCTGGTCCCTATCTGCCTATAAAGACTTAGAATCTCAGTGTTTCAGTGTGGCTTTATAGTTCGAATCTAGCTTTGGTTTTTAGTAGTCATATATAACCTTGAGTAAACTACTTAATTTTTCTTGACCTCAGTTATCTTATTTATAAAACAGGGCTAAAAACGCCTGCTTTCGCTGGGCCCGGTGGCACAGGCCTGGGAGGCTGAGGCAGCAGGACTGCAAATTCAAGCCTAGTCTGAGCAGCTTAGTGACTGAGGGAGACACTACCTTAAAAATAACAATAAAATAAAGTAAAATAAAAGTGGGCTGGGGCTGTAGCTCAGTGCAAAGGTCCTGAGTTTAGTCCCCAGTATTGTAAAATAAGAAACAAAACACCTGCCTCATGGAATTATGAGGAATAAATGAGAAAAATTGTTATTTTTGGCTTCTTTCCCACCGAGCCTACCTGTGTCATCTATGCCTTATCCTTTCCTTTTTTTCCCTGCCCTTGTGGACTGTATGCTCTTTTGGTTCATTTCTTACCCTTTCCTTTAAGGAAGAGGAGTAAGGAAGGAAAGAATGAGGAGTTAAAGGATACAAAATATCAATCACATACATTTGAAAAACAAGCCCGGAGAAATGAGTGATTTAGAAACCAAAGCTGACCCTCTGGATACCCAGCCAGGGTCCTGTCTCTACAGAGAGGGTGCCAAGGGGGTACAGGAAAGCCCTCCATCTCTGCTCTTAAATATTTGCATTCAGAGGTCGCATAACTGAGCTCAGGGTCAGGGAGCCAGTGGTTGAGAAGACCTGTGTTTTTTTCAGTAAATTTTTTTTTTTTTGGTACCAGGAATCAAACTCAGGACCTTGCACATGCCAGGCAGGTGCTTATGCCCCTGAGCTATATCCCCAGCCCTCTTTCAGTAAATTTTGACATTAAAAAAAAAAAAAAACTGTACATAGACACACTATTCAAATATTTTAAAATTTTTTCAAAAGCCTTATGTGAATATTTGTTTCGAGCTCCAGATTGCGCTATAACTGGCCTAGAACAGAGTGAGGCTCCCAGGTCACCGGCACACAGGGACAGAGCCTCTTGACCCTGCTTGTGACGGCATAGCAGGCGCATGCCTGGCATAGCTTGCAAAGCCTGCCCAGTTCTATTACCGGTGCGTGAAAGTTCTGCTCCAGCAGCAAATCTCTAAATTTAGATGCTTTTCAGGATGAACTCTGAGTGATCTTTGTCCCTAAGACTGGTAAGGATTGGAGGGCACCTTGCTTATCATTTGCAAATTCTAGTGCTACAGTTGCTATTTTATAACGCAAAATTTGTGAAGATTATCACTTTAATGGAAAGTAATAGGAACACACAGGGAGTACTGTATTTAAGATTTCTTCTTCATAGTTATATAGTAAAAATTTACCCTGGATTTAACTCAAATGAAATAGAAAGGAACTCAACATCCAAATCCTTTTCCTGGTGACTCTATGGAACTATCTGGAATGAACACAGTTTAGGAATTTAGTCCTAATATAATCTCTCCGTACTTAAGTTGTGCCATTTTAACCACTGAACAGTTCACCCTGAATGTCACCCAGGCAGCACATTTGCTTATGTGCTATCTCGAGCATCGCTCAGGCCGGTGTCATTTCAACCAGTCAGTACTTTTTGTTAAATACATTTGATAAATTGCATTTTTATATTTCTTGTTATATTACAAAAATTAATGAAAAAATATGCCACATTCAATCATCCTGTATTTAAATAGGTGGACTGGCAAGTGGCTAACTGAAGAAAAGACAAAGTCACAATACATTAAAAGGGAATTAGAGAATTGTTAAGGAATGCTGAATTTTCATTAGTAAAGAACCAGCCCCTGCCAAGGCCAGCCCACCTGTCTACCTTTATGGAGAGTCAAGAATGTAATTTTGGCCAGCTGTGGTAGCACACACCTATAATCCCGGCACTTGGGAGGCTGAGGCAGGAGGATTGCCAAGAGTTAGAGGCCAGCCTGGGCTACATAGTGAGTTCAAGGCCAGCCTGAGCTACATGACAAAATCCTGTCTCAATAATAAAAGAATGTAACTTTTTACATTGGCTGGGTTCAGACCCTGCCCCGGCTATCACTAACAGGGTACACTGGGTGATTTACTTAACTGCTTTGACTTGTGGTGTTGTCTAAAAATAGAACTGAATCACACCTTCTTATTATGATTATTAAGTGACAGCTTATAAAAAGAGCTCATAGTCCTTAATAAATGGTATTATGCAGTCAAGGCATAATAGTATAATTCTTCTAGATGTGATGACAGGTATGGTATTGTACTGACATGTCCTATCAAAAGAAGCTTTTTTCTTTTTCTTTTAACATGGAACGTCAGGGAGTAAACAAGGGAAAAAATACACAGAAAAAGAATGGAGTCCCAAGAGTCCCTTTCATGACTTACTCAGGATAAATCATCTAATTCTCTTGTTTACCCATCTCTAAAGGAAGCCTTGTGCCTCGCACTCAGGAAAGCTACTTGCTAAAGTATGTCCAAAGATCTGTCTGCTCTTGGAACTAGTGGCTATTTGTTTTGTGATACTGAGAACTGAACAAGGCAGGCACTTGAGCAAGATAAGTAAACATTCTACACTGAACTATACCCCCAGCCCTAGAACTGAGGCTGTTTTGATTAAAGAGACTTCAATGAGAAAATTCTTTTGGTGCAAGAAGTGCCCATATCAAGACAGACCTAGGACCACATAGAATTCTTTGGAAA